ACGTTAAGAAAAAAAAAAAAAAACCAGAAAAAAAAAGAAAAAAGAAAAAGTGGGAAAAAAAATTTACAAGGAATTCAAGAAATAACATCATTCATTATTCGCGTTGTTATTATTACTATACTAACACTAAATGTTAATACAGTATTATTTCACAAAGTAAAAAAAAAATAAATAAATAAATAAAATTTCAAGATGTTAAATCCAATACAGTCTCTTTTTGAGCAAAAAATCTGTGAAACCTAAGATGACTTTGATTTTCTTCAGCTTCTTCTATTACAGTCTTAATAATCGAATCAATATCACCTATTTTAATCCCAAAATAATTAGCTAATTTTGGTAAAAAAGTTTTTAAAGTGTCCCTTAAAATTTGAGCCGAAGTTTCTCCCAATCTACCAGCAAATGAACCTAAAGGAAGATATTGTATTTTATGTTGAATATTACGAAGTTCAGCTGTCATATGCATGTAATCCCTGAAATGACTGATTTGTGCCAGGCGAAGGTGACTTGAAACTGGGATATTGTTCAAACAAAATTCAAGTTGGGCAAAGGTAAATTAAACAAGTAATTAAGACAGTTAAACGGGTTAATTAAACAGGTAATTAATTTAGTAAATAAAATACTGAAATAGGGGAAACAATGGAATAATTTAACATACAAAGATTCAACAATTTTTCAGTGGTAGGACCTTTTGTTCCCCAAGAATAGTCATAATCTGACAACTACCAATATTAGAAAAAATATATTTATATATATATTGGTTAAAAAGAAAATATATAAAGAGAAAATAATACTGTAAATACAGAAATAGATAGATATAAACCTCTAACCATCCACCAGGTTTCAACACTCTGACTAACTCCTAATTATATTGAAAGTGGTGAATGAAAAGTATTCATAGTGAAAAATATTCATAATAAACAACTTTTAATAAGTAAATAAGTAAATAAGTAAATATATAAATAAATGAATAAAAATAAAAAACATACCAAAATAATTTTTTTCCATTCGGATTCATTATATTCAATTGAACGATTTTTCATACTCACAAAGTCAAAAGTATCATCTTAATAATAATTAACGTTTAATATGTTTAATAAGCAATCTCTTTTTAATAATAATAAAAGCAGAATTACTTTTAAGTAATACCTTCAAATGGTAGGCCATTAACAGGATCAGCTTCTATAAATTCAACATCGAAGGGTTTACTAACGGTTGCTAAACTTGAATATGGAGAAGTATATGTGCCGATATAGGTACATCCTGGATAGTCAGCAGATAATTCGAATAGCCAAGTTCCTACATCGCATCTAATTGAAACGAAAAAATATATTTATATTTATAGAATATCCATAACATTCATTTACATAATTAAAAAAAGAAAAAAACTTACCCAACGTCCAAGACTTTAGCCCATCCGGTTTTAAGCACTTTGTGTACTGGAGAATTAAAATTTCCTCTAAAAATTTCTCTTGTAAGATGATGCCTCGAGTGTAAAAATTCTTTTTCTTCTTCAGTTAGCGGAAATGTTTCTTGATACCCCGAAATGGATCTTGAAAATTGTCTTCCCATTTTTTTTTTTTTTTTTTTTTTTTACGGATCGGAAAGAGTTAAAAAATTTCCGAAATTGAAAATTAAATACTGAAATAGAATAATAGAATTTCTGAATTCTGAAATAATAAAAATTTTTTTTTCTTTTTTTTTTTTCTATGGAATTATAACGATATAAAAAATAAAAAATTTTTTTCTTTTTTATTCAAATATCGCCTAAGTGGTTCTTTTTATTCG